TAGGCCCAAAACGTCAGCCTTTCTGCTCCTCTGATGCTGCTTGGCCTGCTGTGTTCATCCAGCTCCACACCTTGTTATCTCAGATTCTCCAGCATCTGCAGTTCCTACTATCTCCATTTTTATCCTTACGTTTTTTTTAGGTTTCACTGAAATGGGATGAGTCATCATGAGCTATGGGTATAGCACCCAACAAATGACAGCGCCAACAATACTCAAGAAACTTGACACCATCCAAGACAAAGCAGTCCGCTTGATTGGCATTACATCCACAGACATTAAACTCCTCTGCCTCTGATGCCCACTGGCAACAGTGTACACCATCTCCAAAATGCACAGCAAAAATTCATCAAGACTCCTCAGACATCACCTTCTAAACCCACAACTACTACCATTTTGAAGGATAAGGACAGCAGATACATGGCAACACCATCACCTGCAGTTTCTCCTCCAAGTCCCTCACTCTTCAGTGTTGGAAATATATCACCTTTCTTTCAGTGTCACTGGGTCAAAATACTGGGACTATCTTCCTACTGGAATTGTGAGTGCTCCTATATCAAGGGGATCACCGCAGTTCAAGAAGGCAGCTCACCACCATGTTCTCAAGGGTAATTAGGAAATAGGAAAAAGGAGATAAATTCTGGCCCAGCTGGCAATTCCCACATCTCATGAATGAATATAGTAAAAATCATGAAAATGGCATTTTGAGGAAATCCAGCAATTTTGGAAGCTTTGATGTTCCTCTTTGTCAGCTGTTTGGGAGCTCTGTTAATAATATAAACTGAGCATCTTACCCCAGATTGGGGGAAAATTAAATAGCATCTGGAGTGAGAGAGTACTGGGAAAGGATGTTGGCGTCTCAAAGTCATCCCACCTCCTTCTGGCTTTCCACAGGTCAAATTCCAAATCCTGTGATGAACGGTGGCACAGTGGTTAGCACTGCTGCCTCACAGTGCCAAGGACCTGGGTTCAATTCCATCCTTGGGCAACTGTCTGTGTGGAGTTTGCACATTTTCTCTGTGTCTGTGTGGGTTTCCTCCGGGTGCTCCAGTTTCCTCCCACAGTCCATAGATGTGCATGCTAGGTGGATTGGCCATGCTAAATTTCCCATAGTGTTCAGGGATGTGTAGGTTATAGGGGTAGTAGGAACTGCAGATGCTGGAGAATCCGAGACAACAAGGTGCAGGGCTGGATGAACACAGCAGGCCAAGCAGCATCATAGGAGCAGAGAGGCTGACGTTTCGGGCCTAGACCCTTCATCAGAAAAAAGGTTATAGGGGGATGGGTCTGGGTGGGATGCTCTGAAGGTCAGTGTGGACTTGTTGGGCCAGAGGGCCTGGTTCAACACTGTAGAAATTCTGTGAACCATGAAGGCAAATGATTAAAAAAAGCAATTAATACAATTTTTAACAAGTCCCTTATTTATGAACAGTGCACAGTTTAAATACCCCATCTGCACAGGGTCACCGAGTTGCACACATAATGGAAACACCTGACAGATAAGCTGGGAAGCCTTTGATCAGTCACTCTGCAGAGCTCTGACCATGACCAGCTGAGATGCTTGCTGTTCAAAGAATTGTTCTCTCAAGGAGTGCATCACTGCTTGGCTGGTGATTGCCATCTCCTCGGAAGGTACTTATCTGTCTCTTCCTTCCCTCATCCTTGGCTATACTTCCCAGCTGTCAGCCTTCACCTCAGCTAGTGTGGTGTCACCTCCATTCGAGGGCAAGACCAGAAGTTATACTACTGTCAACAGCATCAGCAGCAAGCAAGAGGAGCAACAGCTTGTGCCTTGTCTTCAGGAACATGCCCACTCCACAGAGTAACCAGGAGGATACCAAGATTCATCCAGAAGAAGGCAAGATGCCTGGCACAGACTCTGCATTCAGGGGGTTGGCTCTCTCCCCAGGTCTGCATACTAATGCATCAGGAGATTCAAACTGTCACAGCACATTACAGCTGTTACCTGCAGCCTCCTGGATCAAGGTCTGCCATTGGAGCGGCTAAGTATATTATGCAGTGTCAATGGCCAGTACAATGACTATCGCTGAACCTTGCATATTTCCTCCATCCCCTGCCTCTTGCTATTAATAAAGAGATGTTAACTGACTGTAGTGACATGTGTGGAGACACTCAGTAAGTACTCCACATACTCAGCCATTGGAGGAGTTTATGTGTCACAATTTATTATGTTTGGATAAAGCGTTGCCCCTAAGAAAATGAGTCCCCTTCACAATGTGGATTTGCATACATTTTGGATTATGTTTATTTGCATTTAATCCAATGAATTTGCTGGTGGTGGCCTTTTTACTGCAAACCAAACAATGTTCTGGGAGATACTACATGAAAATATACTGCTAAAAAGCTTCTGCACTGTACAGCAGCTTAACAGTTTTGTATATAAATTTTAGTTGATTAACTTAGGAGCAGAGGAACAGGGGAGGCTATTCATTCCCACCAGTCTTATTCACCATTTAATTAGATTGTGGACGATCTAGACGTTAATTTCATTTATCTGCTCTAATTACGTATCCTGCAAAATCATTGTCATAAAAACCCATAAGGTTCACATCGTCCTCTAAAGAAGGCAATCTGCCATCCTTATCTGATCTGACTTACATGTGACTCCAGACCCAACAAATTCACAGAATTGTTATATTGCAGAAGGAGGCCATTCAACTCATTGTGTCTGCATAACTTTCCAAATAAGCAAATTGCTGAGTTACTTGGCACAGTTAATCAAAGCAATGTGGTTGACTCTTAACTGCCCTCCGAACTGCCCTAGCAAATCATTAACTTGTACCAAGCAACCAGATGGACTGCAGAAGTTCAAGAAAGTGGCTCATTACCTCCTCGTCAAGGCCAATTAAGAACGTGTAATAAATGCTGATCTTGCTTATGACACACAAAGTCTCAAGAAAGAATTTTCAAAAAGTGAATTTATAGCAATGAATTCAAACAAAGTCACAATTGATATGGTTTCTAGAGTATTCTCCTTTTTGTGTTTGTGTTTCTGCTTTGGCTCTTTTTTTAAAGTCCTGTTTTGAGCTGTTGCTGCAGAGTTGCATCATTAAGCAGTTCTAAGATCATGAAAAAAATTACATTTAACTGAAATAGCACCATCGTTTTGTCTCTGAGTGTTCTTTAATATTCCATTTCAACCTGAGGAGAATATGAAATGAAACACTTCAAAAATAAGTGAAATCCCACTGTGAAATATCTCCCCTTTTGCTTTTTAAGCATTTTTCCCCAAGAAAAGCAACTTATGTTCACTTTTCCCACTTCTCAGTTTTAATCATTCAGCGACTAAGGAAAATGAACACTGTTGCTTACTGCCTATATATAGGAGCTAGTGGATGACTCATTTATTTTCTATAAAGTAATAGTAGAATCTTTACTTGGTCAAGAGGACCAATAGTAATCTTGACCTTGTAAAGCACTTGTTCTTGTGTTTCAATGTTTTATTCATGAACGTCAAGGCTGAGTGCGGTAAAATGAAAAGCACTTTGAAATTTGCTCTCTATTACAAACACCATACTAAAGGAAAGATAATGAAATAAGATTCAATAACAAGGGAGCATAATGTTAAGGTGAAGGATAGAAGTTTTAGAGTGGACTTGAGGAAAAACATTTTTACCCAGGGGATAGTGGGAATCTGGAATGCTCTGCCTGGTAGGGTAGCAGAGGTAGGAGACATCACAACCTTTAAAGAGCACGTGGATGAGCACTTGAAATGTGCTCGTCTATTCAAGGATATCTGCCAAGTGCTGGAAAGTTTGACTAGTGTTGGTAGATTGACATTGACCTGATGGGTGCTGTATGACTCTGAGTAGAGCCATAGAGTAATAGAGCGGAACAGCACAGAAATTAACTATTCAGTCCAACTCAGCCATGCTGACCAGATATCCTAAATTAATCTAGTCCCATTTGCCAGCATTTGGTCCATATCCCTCTAACTCTTCCTACTCATGTACCCATCCAGATGCCTTTTAAATGTTGTAATTGTACCAGCCTCCACCACTTCCTCTGGCAGCTCATTCCATACACACACCACCCTCTGCATGAAAATGTTGCCCCTTAGGACCCTTTTAAATCTTTCCCCTCTCACCTTAAACCTATGCCATCTAGTCTTTGACTCCCTAGCCTGGCAAAAAGACTTTGCCTAATCACCTATCCACGTCCCTCATGATTTTATAAACCTCTTTTATGAACCTCCTCAGTCTCTGACACTCTAGGGAAACTAACCCCAACCTATTCAGTTTCTCCCTATTGCTCAAACCCTCCAAACCCAGCAACATCCTTGTAAATCCTTTCAAGTTTCACAACATCTTTCCTATAGCAAGGAGACCAGAACTGAATGCAGTATTCCAAAAGTGGCCTAACCTATGTGCTGTATGGCTACAACATGACATCCCAACTTGCATACTCAATGCGCTGACCGATAAAGGCAGCCATGCCAAATGGCTTCTTCACAATCCTGTCTACCTGCGACTCCACCTTCAAGGTACTATGAACCTACACTGCAAAGTCAGCAACAACATTTCCCAGGACCCTACCATTAAGTGTATAATTGCTATCCTGATTTGCCTTACCAAAATACAACACCTCACATTTACCTAATAAGTGAAGGTATTGGCAATAAGCTCAGTGTTTTGCCCTCTGTTACTTAAAAAGGCAACATCCTGCTCTAGAGTTGTAATTCTCAATCGCTTTGATTACCGCTTGTAATGTGGTCAGGTAATTTGACTCACAAAAGGTGTTTTGCAAATACGTTCTGCCTTGCAAAAAGCTGCTTATGATTGAAAATAATGTGGTAGGTTCATATGCATTGGCTGGATGAAAAACAGAGCATGGCTATTGCAAAAAATAAATGCTGTGAAACTGAAAAAGTTATGTTTCTACGTAGGTTGTTTATGTTACTTCCTGTTTTAGTTCATGGCCTGTTTATAATCTCTGAAATCAAACAAGTTTGGGAAGAGTGGGGGATCAGAATGGAAAGTGAAATTAAAGAGTAAATATCTGGATTGTCATTCCTGATGTGAAGCATTTTCTGTGCAGCATGTACATCCAGACTTGAAGGGCTGAATGGCCTAAGTTATGCTCCTGTGTCTTACAGTCTTATATTCCACTCTAATGGTAAAGTCATGGGCTGCCTACATGTGGTTGCCAATATGTACCCCCCCTTCACTAGCACTTTGAATTTAGAGCAGGGAGTGATCTGTAGAATATTTCATGCGTTTCGTAATGAATGTTCCTTGCCCTAAGCACTGGCTGTACTGAGCTGGATTATTTCCTTTTCTTTCATTAATGTACCTAGGGTCATATAGCATAAAAACAGGCCCTTCGGTCCACAATGTCTATGCGGACCAACAAACATCAAACTACACTAATCCCATTCACCTGCAAGTTGGTCCATAGCCTACTATGCAGTAGCATTTTAAGCACTCATCCAGATACTTCTTAAATGGTGTGCTAGTATCTTCCTTCACCACTGTATCAGGCAGCACATTCCATGTATGTACCACCCTCTGGGTGGAAAAATACTTTCTCATATCTCCTTTAAACCACTTGGTCCTCATCTTAAACTTATGCCCTCTGGTTTTAGACCCGCCTGTCATGGGGAAGAGATTCTCATGATCTACTGTTCAATTTCTCATAATTTGCATACTTCAATCAGATCTCTCTCAGCCTCCTCTGCTCCAAGGAAAACAAACCCAGCCTGTCCAGACTCTCCTCATAACTGAGACTTCTAATTCCCAGCAAAATCCTGGTGAATCTCCTGTGCATCCTCTCCAGTGCAAACATGTTCTCCTGAAACTGTGGTGACCAGAACTGCACACAGTATTCCACTTGTGGCTTAAACAATGT